CCAGTACTTTGAGTTTGCTGAAGGTAGTAAAAATGAAACATTTAAGGACAGAACAACAACACGATGGCCTATCAGTTGGTGTCCCAACCACGATTACAGATACGCCCTTTTTTCTTAATGAAACATAATATGGATCTGCTTGTTAGCAGTGCTAAATGTTATTAGCCTGCCACAAGCCTAAATGTTCGTCGTCCAACAAAGCTTCGTTCGAATCCTCTAAGGGGAACACAAAAGCAATGGCGTGAAGTCTCTTAACGTACTAAGTAGAGCGTATTTAAGGCAAGCAACACGTTTAGAAGCATGCACAAGATAAGACCACAATCGGACCGACCAGGTAGTCCCCTCAAATGGCTAGCGGTTTGATTGGCTTTCTGACATATCCGAATGGCCTGGTAGAGTCCTAATGGTGGCCACAGTTTGCGCGACATCACGTGGACTGCACGTGGGTTGACCAGTGGTGTGCTGTGGGAGCGAACTGTTAGGCCAGAATGTGCGCGAGTTCGTTATGCTGCCCCTCTCGTGCTTGATCGGAGCAACAGCGCGGTCATCGTGCATTTTCAGTTTTTTCACTGTCGGCTCAAGCACATATAATCCTGATGAGAGTCACTGTCCGTGAACTTGAATTTTATAATGTATCCAGGAAAAGTCCTAGGGTTAGCTGTTTGCATTCCATGACGGGGATTGAGTACAAGATTATCGATATGTGTCAAAGCCAGTCCGGCACTCTCTGCCCTGGAGCCTCTGTGATTTCCCATGCGACAGAAAAAGCGTATCGTTCCCACGCTCGCCTGCTAATGATCGGAAGGGAACGCCTTTCTCATTTGACCGCTCCTAAACGTTTAAGAAGTGTGAACTTTTTATTCGGACGCACGTTTTAAGACTAGACAAAAATGTAAAATACCAGGGGCTTATATCAACGCACCATCTTTCGTTTTCTTTTGAATCTACAAGTGTCGTGGCATTAAATGGCATTTTTAGTTAATTTTCAGTTTCGTGGGTCTCTTGGCTACGAGGAGTGCACAGAGGATTGAAAGTGCTTTTGTAGTCGTGCTCAAGAGGACATTCTATGCATGGCTCCTCGGACGGGTAACCGAGCACTTTTGTCATTTTTAGAGACTTGGTCACTTTTATGAACACCGAAATGGTTTTATTTTCGTAACAGTTTAGTAATTAAGGAAGTTGGAAACGCCCAAAAAAGTTGCCTTACGTGTCTTATGAAAATTCCATTTACGCATCGGCGGACAGCGATGACCGTTAAGGATACGACAGCAGACTGCTATGAATATTCGTTAGGCAATTAGGCTCATCTGTTTCATAATAACCAGTGTTGAGGTTGACGATTCTGAGGGGAAAACCACAAAAAGGAGTAAACTTTGAGAACTGAATCAAGGAGAGCAAAATGAAAAAAACAGCTGGCATCTGCGGGTAGGCAAGATTTGTGCAAAGGCATAGGAAAATAGGTATGTTCTCGCATTGCAAACTTTTGTATGATTGTTTGTTTCTTAGGTAAACTGTTATGTGAATAAGTG